CGGGAAAGCCCGCGAGAAGCCGAGGACTCAGAGGTGCCCTGGACCGTGCCCCCGCTGGCCCCCATCTGGGACGTGGACATGTCTCCCACCCAACGCCCACCCTCCCCCTGGCCAGGAGGTGCAGGCAGCCGCCGAGGCTTTTCCAGGCCACCTCCTGTGCCGGAAAACCCCTTTCTCCAGCACGTAGGCCCTGTGCCATCCACCACCCTCCAGCCTGAGGATGCAGCTGCTGGTATGACCAGGGTCTTCCTGGGCAGACACCATGAGCCGGGTCCTGGACAGCTCACCAAATCAGCTGGCCCAACCCCTGAGAAGCCTGAAGAAGAGGTCACCCTGGAAGACCCCCAGCTGCCAGCAGAGACCAAGCCTCCAATCCCAACACCTCCCAAGGATGTCACACCCCCCAAGGATGTCCTCCCAGAGCAAAAGACATTAAGGCCCAGCCTCTCATACCCACTGGCTGCACGTGAGCAGACCAGGGCCACATGGCCACCATGGCACCGCTGGGGGACACTGCCCCAAACCGCAGCCCCCTTGGCACCCACCAGGGCCCCAGAGCCCCTGCCCAAGGGGGGCGAGCGGCGCCAGGCAGCCCCTGGGCGTTTTGCTGTGGTCATGCCTCGTGTGCAGAAGCTGAGCTCTTTCCAGCGAGTTGGGCCTGCAGCCCTGAAGCCTCGAGTCCAGCCAACCCAGGACCCCAAGCCAAGAGCCTGGGGTCTTCGCTGGTCCTGCCTCTGGCTTCGGGCAGATGCCTGTGGACCCAGGCCACGAGTAGACGCCCACCCCCAGTCCTGCCACCTGGGCCCTGGAGCCGCCTGCCTCTCCCTTAAGGGCTCCTGGGAAGAGGTCGGCCCCCCAAGCTGGCGGAACAAGGTATGGGGACACAGATTACAGGGAGGGTTTGAGGGTTCTGGCCTAGAAAACAGGGCAAGAGAGACAGCCTGAGGAGCCCTGTGCAACCTTGGAGAGCGGCTGCCTGCTGGGGCCTGTAAGTTGGGGAGAACAGTCCCTCCCAGAACCTCTGGAGGGTTGAACAAGGGGATGCCCAGCACAGGCAGGCACAGGACAGAGACGTGGGAAACTGCTTCCAGGTCGCTCTGGGGAAGGATCTTTGTTCATCTCAGCCTGGGCCCTGGGCAGCCCTGCCCTGATCCAATCTGGGTGGCAGGTCTGGCCCTAACTTCCCCTCAGAGATTTTAGCCAAGCCAGATGTGAAACTGCAGGACATGCCTATCCATCCTGTTCCACCACACATCCAGGTCTGTGCGGTTCCTCCTGTCTCCTACTGACCCTGCCCCAAATTAGAGCCTCCTCTTTCCTCAAGGTTTTTGCTGCCCTTTGAAGTCCCCTGGGCTGCAGGATTCTGGAATAGGTCAGGGTGAGGGGCTCAGGATCCAACACTCCAGCCTCCTCATTGCACAGAGGGAAAACTGAACCAGGAGTCCTTCTGGAACCCCATGTCGGGTACAGGGTAGGCAGCCCTTCTGAGGAGTGCCCAGCCCATGCCTGGCTGCCACACTCAAGGTGGAACTCGAGCCTGATGCTGGGTGGCCCTTGGCCGGGGTGCGTGGTCACCGGAGCCTCTCCCGGGATGCTGGGGTGGTGGGCGGGGCAAGCAGGGGCGGCAGGTGCGTCTCAGCCTGTGCAGACCGTGCCCAGCGGAGCGGGCAGCCAGCCGGGCCCAACAATGGCAACTGGGGCAGCCTGGCTGCTGGGGGGGCCCTGGCCCCGGCGGCGGGTGCCCCATGCCGTGTGGGCTGCAGCATTGCGGGAGCGGGGCGCAGGGCGCCTAGGGGTGAGGGGCAAGGATGCCTGGGCCCTCCTCACCCTGGAATACGTGAGTGGCTGAATTATTCAGGGTCTGAGGCTGCTGGCAAGCACGTGGGCAGATGGGTGGGCTAGAGGCCAGGGCAGAAAAGGTGATACTCGCTGTGCCCTACTTAGCAGCCCAGTGACAGGCATGCAGGCCTCCCTCCTGGTGTCCTCTTTCCTCGCCTGCTCAGGGTGCTGCTGGGATTGGAGAGGCTGAGGGTGCACATGTGTGTGCTCCCAGTCATGTGGATCCTGCGCAGGCCTGCATGCCTGAGCATGTGTGCACGTGTGTACCATGGCCAAATGACGAAAGCTAGTGTATGAGGTCTGAGCAGATGTGGCATCCCTGGGGGTCAGGGTTGTTTGCCCACCCTCTGCCCATGTGCACAGATGTGCGTGCAGAGAGGAGACCCTGCAGCCCAAAGGTGGCATCAGAACTTCCATTCTCCAGACCCGCAGGGTAGGGAGGGACCCAGCTGTGCACCCAGATGTATGTGCCAAGTGGACAGGTAGAGCATGTGCCTGCACACTATGTGCCTCCAGCCGGGCCCCACAGGCTTGCATATGTGCCCACAGGCCTAAAAGAACATCTGTGTGCCTGGGAGTTGTATGAGCTGTAAATGCCATTGAGTGTGGGTTCATATGCAGGTGTCCACACATTTTCCCCGGGATGAGCATGGGGGTGTGGTGCTAAGACAGTCTCCATCTCTGCCCTCCTGGAGGCCCCATGCGTCAGGTCACAAGTGTCCTTTTGAGTTGTCACACAAACCAACACATGGGGTCTGCTGGTGCTGGGACAGCTGCAGTTGGGAGGGAGCTGGCACGTGCACCCATGTACCTGCTCATGCCTTTGCTCACCCCCCAGGGCAGGACACTTAGGAGCTCATGGGAGCGCCTGCCTGGGCACTGAGGGCATGCGTGTGTCTCATGTGTGAGGGTTGCATGCAGGTTCCAGGGGCCACAGCATTCTGTAATGAGGAGACTTGCAGGACCCACCTGGCCTTGGGATTCCCTCCCCAACAATGGTAGCAGGCCCCAGGTATGACCAAGCCAGGGGCCAGTGGGGGCGGGGGGCACCCTTCAAACTGCAGACACAGTCTCTCTCTCACACAGATGCACTCCATCCGAAACCTGCCATCTGTGCGGTTCCGCGAGCAGCACAGGGAGGATGGCGTGGAGGACATGACACAGCTGGAGTGAGTGGGCAGGGCTGGCGGGGTAACAAAGTGTCACCATGGGGTCCCCACCCTCCCAACCAGAGCGGCTCCTCCTGCAGTTGCCTCTCACCTCCCAGGACATTTTCAGAGCCTCAGTCATGAAGTGTCACAAAGACTAAATGTGGTGTGCTTTGTGAGTTAGATGGACTTTGGTTCAAATCCTAGCCCCACCACTCACTAGCTGGCAGACCTTGGACAAATCGCTTTGCTTCTCTGCACTTCAGTTTCTCATCCACAAAATGGGAGTGGGATGGCTGTGGTGAGGATGCCGGCACATTGGAGGTGCTCAAAACAAGAGGGCCATGTTTGTCAACATCATTATCTAATTATGGTGATTACGTAAGAGTGTCCCCCAAACTGCCAATGAAGTAGGTACAATGATTATCATACCCATTGGACAAATAAAGAAACAGGCACAGACAGGTGAAGTAATTTGCCCAAGGTCTCCTAACTGGTTGGTGTCAGAAACAGGACTTGAACTCAGGCCTATCTGATCAAGGCACTGCGCTGAGTCGGGGAGGGAGACTCATGCCAGAACCAGCCCTGGGGGCGCTGACAGCTTCTCTCTGTGCCCTTCTAGAGACCTCCAGGAAACCACTGTGCTGTCCAACCTCAAGATTAGATTTGAACGGAACCTCATCTACGTAAGACCTAGGGCTGGCCCTGCCCTGGGCCTAGGTCAGGAAGGCAGCTGCCTCCTGGGGCCGGGTGGGATGCACAGATTTCTCTTGTGGGCCCTAGCCCCTGTGGCCTCTGGTTTGAACTCTGAGTTTCTGTCACTTCAGCATAGAATGCCAGAGCCTAGAACTAAAATCTGAAGTCTTAAAACACAGTCTTAGAATGGTGGATGCCAGAGGCAGAAAGCTGGAGACAGAGAATCCAGAAATACGCGACACCCCCACCACCCGGGACCTGACAGATAGAACTTCCAGAGTCCTAGAATCCATAGACCTGGACCCCAGAGTGGGGACGGTCAGAGGGGTTGGAGGGGAGTCTCTGACCTCACAATGACAGAACAGAGGGCCAGGGGCCCAGAGCCAGTGTGGAAGACAAGGACACCCGGAAGGGCTCTGGCCACATCAGAATCCCCTGAGTTCCCCAACTACCCACTCCAGGCAGTGGAGGTTTGCCCTCAACAGGAGCCAAAAGTTCCTGGAGCCTGGGTCCAACTATGAACAAATGAAGTAGGCAGAAGCCCACCCAGGATCGTGGCTGTGGGGTTTTACTCACTCCAGACTCCTCTCAGCTCAGCCTGCTGCAGTGCCTGAGATTCCACTGTTAGAGCACATAGCCCAGCAAGCTGGTAGAGGGCTCTAGATGGGAATCCTGAGTCCAGGCAGCCAGATATCTGTCCGGATGGAAACAGGGAGCCAAGCTTCCAGCGTAGGGGAAGGAGGGACACAGGTCTGCAAGCAGCCATGACGCTGAGGCCACCGTCTGCCCGGCAGACATACATCGGGAGCATCCTGGTGTCGGTGAACCCATACCAAATGTTTGGAATCTATGGGCCGGAGCAGGTGCAGCAGTACAATGGACGGGCCCTGGGAGAGAATCCCCCGTGAGTGTCTCAGGGGCGGGGCGGGGCTGCCGTGGGGTCTCTTGGGCCCGTCTTTCCCCTACTGTGGGAGCCTGGATCCCAACTGCACCCCAGCCATGAGTCAGAGGTAAATGGGGAAAGGCAGCCCACCTACTCAATCTGACAGTCTCTCCCCAGGCAGGGCCGCAGCCACAGGTTGGAGGGCACTGTGGTTCAGACCAGGATGGGGGTGGGAGCATTCCCCCAACAGGGTGAGGGGTGGGCCGGATTGGCTGTTTGGCTGGATACGGATGCTCCCTGCCCAATCCCTGGGAGGTTTGGGAGCTTAGAGGCAGGGGCCGGCTCCAATGACCTTTTTCCCCAGGCACCTCTTTGCTATTGCAAATCTCGCCTTCGCCAAAATGCTCGATGCCAAACAGAACCAGTGCATAATCATCAGGTGAGCGGGCGGCCTTTACGTGGAGGATAAATGGGGGACCTTAGGTAGCAGGCCTGCATCTGGCCAGAACTGCTGTGGGAACTTGGAAGATTGCCTGATACCGCTGGGTTGGCCTGCTGCACATAGCCTCTTGCTTCATGATGGGGGTCAGGGTGCACCAGAAGAGGCAGTGAAAGGTTGGAACTCACTCTGCCCCTTTGCTTGGTCAGTGGAGAGAGCGGCTCTGGCAAAACTGAGGCCACCAAGCTGATTCTGCGCTACCTGGCCGCCATGAACCAGAAACGGGATGTCATGCAGCAGGTGAGTCTACTTGTCTCCCCAGGACCCTACGTTGAGCACCCTTTGATAAGCACACCTCAGGTACTCCCCAAGAGGCATGGCTCCTTGGCCCACTAGAAAGATGGGGAGGCTGAGTTCCAGAAGGAACTTGCCCAGAAGGGGGCCTTGCCCAGGGCTGCTTTTTCTGCCCCCCGTCCCAGGGGTGTGCCTGCCTATGCTTCCGTGGCAGCTCCTGGTTCCAGCCCTCCAGGTCCAGTTCACAGTGGAGACCACATAGGGAAGGGGAGTCATCCCATCTCTCCCACCTGGCCTCACTTTCCTGGTCATGGCCCTGGGGCCACCATATTCTCACACTCAGAAGCTATGCAGCCCCCAGCTATCAAGAGGCAGGGCAGGCCTGAGTGTGGGTTAGGCAGTAGATGCCAAGTCAGAGTCTGCAGGATGGGAACTTTGCTGATAAAGACAGTGCTAAGCTCTCTGAGCCTGAGAATGGTAGAACCCCATCCGTTCCCTCAGTAAAGATCTACTGAAGACCTACTGTGTGTGAGGCCCAGGCTAGGCACTGGGAACGAGTAGCGGCAACTCAGGCAAATGTTCACACCCTCATGGGAACTTTAGTGGTGGAGGCGGGAAGAAAAATATATATACACTTATATACAAGTAAATTATATGTACGTGAAAGGGTAGATGGTGAGTTGCGGAGGAAAAAAGTGGAGAGAAGGGTGGGGAGTGTTGGGGGTTGCAATCATAAGTGTGGTGGTCAGGGTAGGCTGTACAGAGAAGACAAGAGAGTGGGCTCTGGGAATGTCTAGGGGAACAGTGAAGAGGCAGAGGGAGGAGTGCCTGCAAAGGCCCTGAGGTGCAAGCAGTTTGGGTCCAGGTACAGGTCAAAGCCAGCCAGCAGCCTACAGAAGACAGACTGGGGTGTGAGAGAGAGAACTGTCGGAGGGTGACCCCAGACATTTGGTCTGACCCACAGGCGGCACAGAGGCAGGCTGGGCAGTGGAGGGAAGAGCAGGTTTGTTGAGAAGAGGTGTCTGCTAGGCATACGCACAGAGATGGCAGAGAGGTGATGGATGCATCACCAGCCTGGAGCTCAGGAGAAGGCGGGGCTGGCCTGCCAGCTCAGACTCCAGAACCACAGACCCAGACTTCCCCAACCCTGGGGCCCACGAAGGTTTGCACATGGCCACAATGTCCTAGCCAGTGGTGAACCCAGCAAGGTGATCCTGGGGGCATAGGTGGG